TGTCCGGCAGTCACCGCCGCCAAATGTACAAGATTGTCCGGTAATTTTTGTTGTAAAAGTACAGTAGCGCAAGGTTTGCGCTGAAATCGATGGCCACTTCACTGTGTTGTAAACCACTTAGCATAGCAAATACTATATATAGAAACTGTTACTGTATAACATTCAGCAACTTGTTCAAATGGCACCCTGTGCCCTTAATCGCACCCGGACATTTGGGAGTGTGACATTTCGCCGCAATTAAATTCGACGCACGACTTTTCGCCGCAAAGACATTTCGCCGCCTGAAATCTGTACCTTCGAAATATTTTTATAAGTAGATAAACTGGTTCGGTGGGCGTGCGCGACAGTTGCCGTCTCAAAATTTGGATCTAAAGTATTGTTTTTTTGCGCGAAGCCAACGAACGATTTTGCTGCAAAAGTTATTAGAAAATGCATTAAAAATATTGAAAAAAATACGACATTTTTGGGAACTCAAACTAGAAGGGTAAGGAGTTTGCTTGTATCCTTTATAGAAAAGGTGAACTTTTGCGCGAAGTGCGATTAAAGCCGAAGGCGTGGCTGAAGACAGCAAGTACTGGAAGTACTGTACGCCTTCGCCGAACGAATGGGATATATCTACGCTCAACACATTTGTGAATTGCTTTTGCCGAAACTGATCCGTTTTGCCGCCGGAAGATTCGTAAAGCTACCGCGGCATCTCAATCTACGGCCTATTTGAAGCAACGATTAAGTCTAGCGGTAGTCAGACGAAATGCGGCAGCCGTTTTAGGCACACTGAAAGAGCGCCCCAAGATCACGATGATAGTTATGACTTTTGATGTTTTTCTTTGTAAACTTATAATCAGTCTAGGTAGTTAGGTTTAATTTGCGCAAGCGTATTGTCATGTGCACTGGCTGTGGCCGAAACAAAGTTTTGTAACTGTATGCCAATGCCGCTGTTTCGCGCAGAGATTAAAAATCTATTTGTTAGATTATAATAAACACCTATGTTCGCCGCGGAGCGGGAATCCAACAATGGTTTTATGGCATTGGCATTGGCGGGCATTGGCGTCAGGACGCAACATAGTCTTCTGAATTTTTTTCCTAATGATTGGGAACAGTTAATGAGTACCAATTAGGATAATTAGCACTAAGAGACTTTAAAGCAGCAGTAAAAACATAATTCAAACTTATATCTCAAGTTAATCACAAATGACCGTTGCCCGAAAATGGCTAATTTCGGACTTGTCAAGCTCTCGTAGATCTTGCTAATTAACTAATTAGTGGATCTCGCTTCGGTGAGTTGGGGATCAGATCGCTTCGGTGGGTTGGGGATCAGACGCACGGAGAAGCTAGCTCCCTCTGCCTATATGGCATCGGCTTCCTCGTTGCACCCGCTGATTTCCAAGCTTTGCCCGAAGCTAACGACTACGGGTGTGTCCGCCGCCACGCATGCCTGGAAACTGACGACTGGTACAGATGAACTTCCGCCCCTCCCGTTCCGCCACGTCCAGAAAGCATGGGACACACCCGCGGCGCTACATGCCTTTTCCCGACTGGCAGCCATAAGGACCACACAGGAGGAAATCGCCCACCTGAAAGCAGTATCAGTCCCGGAATCAGGTGTGTGGATTCATGCATTACCGGCAGCTTGTCTCGGTAATCTTCTGGAGAACAATGCCTTCCGCATAAGCGTCGCGCTGCGACTGGGTGCTCCAATTGTTACTCCTCACGTGTGCGTATGTGGCGGCTTGGTGGATGAACTGGGGCGGCACGGGCTCCGATGTAGACAGTCAGCAGGCAGACTGCCACGACACGACGGCATAAGCGCGGAAGTCGCCCATGGACTGAAAACGGCAAGTTTTCCTGCGAGAATGGAGCCAAAGGGTCTGTCTTTGAAGGCCGGATGTGATTACTCTGGTACCATGGGAGCGTGGAAAACCGCTGGCCGTGGATGTAACATGCGTCGACACACTCGCCGCCTCGTATATCGACCGTACCTCTGTAAACGTCGGAGCAGCAGCTGAACAAGCGGAAAGGGCGAAGCTGACAAAACACGCCTGGCTGCAACCTCGGTACAACATCAAGGCAGCAGCGTTCGAAATTTACGGGCCATGGGGATGTGGTACTAAGACGTTAGTGGATAAGGTTGGAAACGGGATAGCTGCTGCAACAGGCCAGAAACGAGCGAAAGAGTTTTTTAGGCAGCGGCTGTCTATTCAAATACAGAGAGGAAACGCAATATGTGTGATGGGTATAATTCCCGACCAGGATAGCATTGAGGAAGTGTTTTTGCTATGAATATTCTTTTTGTTTCAAGACTAAGTGTGTACTAGCGTGTGATACTTATTAAAGGTGGATGAATAATTAAACCAGAGATAAACTAACAAGGTACAACTAACAACGTTCAAAATCGATTAACACAGGTCTTGTAAGTTGAACAGCAGAAGAAAACAGTCCGCCAAAATCTTGTGTTGCGTGCCAACACCATTGCCCATGAAGGGTCTCAGAAACACGGGCGGGTGCAATTTCGACTGTTTCTCTTTATCACATAATCAGAGCAAGTTACTGTGGGTTTGTACTTAAAACATGCGCCACGCGGTTCTGTTGATCGGAAGCTGGCAAAAAACGCTTTTTCGTATCAACACCCCGGGCGGTCGGCGTAAGCCAAAATCGCCTCTAAATTTGTCTGCTTCAGGAAAACAGAACGCAGGTTACCGAACATAGTAGTCACTTTTATAGGGAACTTGTGACTGTATCGTTTTACCAATAAAATAATTACCCTTCAAAAAAAAGTAGTTCTGATTGAAATTCTACCGTCATGCAATAACACTGTGAATGGCGGCACAACACCACGCGCTTTGCAGCGTTTCTATGTACATATTGATACGTCGCTTGGGTAAGCTAGGCGAGAGCTGCACAGTTTTTCAGAAACATGAATTTTGTGTAATCAGTCTCGGGCGGTTAAAAACCACAATAATGCACACTCACGCGTGCACATTGGGGATCTTGACCTTTGAGGCAGCCTAGCTAGTTTCTTCCGGTCGCTAATGCGTTCCAGAACGTGATATTGACCAGTGACCGCTAATGTCAATTTTGCGCCAATGACCACTGCAGCTGGACTATCCGCGCCGCTTTTTAGATAGTGGCACTTGCGGCCACACCAAGGAATAATGCAAGCGCGAACAATGCGGGCAGTATAAAGGTGGCTAGGCGTGCCAGACATACAGGAAATGCAACGTTAAACTTCAAAAATAATGCTTCGCGCAGTCTCGTGAGGGAGTATACTGAAAGTTATGGGAGAGAAATATCGTTAGCATCTTTCATTTTCTGTATTCCATCTGTTAATAGTGGTCAAAATACATGGCAACGGGATTTAGTTTTTAATTTTTTGCTGACCACTGGTCAACTTGTTGACCACTGCTATGCTGTTGTTTAGAAGTGCGTTTTTTGTACTATTTAATGAAATCATTGCTTTTATGTAATTTCCGTTCGTCTAATTATCACAAAATTAAACGTTTTTAAGCTGTAAACCGTTCATGGGCATTGGCGTTGGCAAACACCCTAGTCACCACGGCTGACCTATGGTCAACACAAGCTTACAAAAAATTCCCTTTCTTAATTAATTTTTTTCATCGGGAAATCCCGATTTTCAAAATAAAACTCGCACTCCTTCGGGTACCGTCCGCTGGAGGGTTAAAAATACAGCCCTGCTACGCCAAGTTGGGACAGCTGCATAAAATAGATTATAAAATATTTGTATTCATCGTTTTATTTGTAACCTTTAACATTACTGGTGTAACTTTTTATTACAAATCCAGAATTGTTAAAACCATTAAGTTCGGGTCTGCCAGTGGCGAGCCAAGCGGTTATTTAGGGGGCGGGGTGGTGATCTGTTTTAGAGCTCTTATAGCTTCCACTTTAAAATATTCTCCGATCGATATTTTCTCGTGGACTTTTTTGAAATCTATTGAGAGACCTAAAAGGTGTCCATCGCAAGTTGGCAAAAGAATTGTGCTCAACCAGTGCTCGCGGTCGGTACGAAATTAAGTCACGTTCCCATAGACAGCTATGTTATAACCAATCATCGGAAGAACTGGGTTGCCTAGCACACATAGTGTGGTATCCTCGAACTGATATTTTCAGGGATGCCACAAGGATAACAGCATTCAAATTTAATGTTTCGACTGACACCTATTGCACAGAGGGGAAGATGGTTGGTCCGAATAAATGGAACAAAATATCAACAAAGTTGCAGATAGAAAACGTTGTAGTTGCTGTTTGAACTCTCTGGGACGGAATACCCCGGGCTTACTGTGCGAATAGCGAGACTTAGATTGACATTATAAACTTCCTGAACGAGATTTTACCAAAACAATTTGCATTCGGCACCCTGCGACTGTAAGGCGAGCATGCAGAGGAAGTCATCCTCCAGTTTCCGGGCACCTGCAGTCAGACTGCAAAGGTCACTCACATCTGGCTGAAATCGACTAGCATACAGAACGGTTCGCAAGAGTACTGCATCGCGAACAATCTGGAGTTACAAATTTTGGACTATCACACCAGAAGAATTTTTAAACAAATTCTAAATAGGAAAGTGTCCAATAAGATCGATGGGTCGAACTATATTTTCCAACTAGTCTGCTCTAGTTTTAATCTCATTATAATTCGAAACAAGCTTCCAGCACGAAAACCTCAAATGCAAGAGATGTTGGACAAACATAGGGATCATTTGAACATTTGATAAGTTTTAATTTGGTGTCGGCTGATTCATGGGAATTTTTGAGAAAAACTGTCCCAACTTGGCGTAGCAGGGCTGTAGCTAGGAATTCAACTAAAAATGAGTATGTTTTAGGTTTTTCTCATATAATTCACGGGGAGGGGCACGTGCCCCGTAACTCACCGACCCCGTAAATTCGCCACTACAAATTAATAATCTGAATATTAACAGCGTACATAGAAAACAAAACTCAAATCATAATGGCCGCTGCAATATCAAAAAGCACTCTACTTAAACCCACCTGTCCTTTGGAATTTCTGATAATGAGAACTGCAAGAGTCCTCATCCCATCCTTTAAAGCCGGGACAGTCCTGTTTTCCATCGCATACCCATTCGTTTGGAATGCATTGAGGGTTTCCATTATTTTCCGTCGCATAGTAGTCTACTTCCCGTCGACATTTGTACATATTAGCGCACTTATCCGTATCTCTTGCTCTGCAGATTGCGGGGTTTTCGTCAGAGGCATCATGACAATTTTTTCTCCCATCGCACCACTGGCGCCGTGGTATGCAACCGCGGACATCATCTTGCGACGGTTTCACCGCGCAAGCCCACTCGGTTCCATCACATCTCTGATCTTTACGATAAATTTGGCAGTGCTCAGGGTTTTCGTCTGCACCATCTAAGCAATCATGTTTGGCAGTATCTGTCCACGAACTATCAGATTCGCAGAGAAGCTCTTTAGGAAGGCATGGCCGCTCGCTTGTGTCTTTAGGGTTAAAGAAACTGATGCTAGAAGGCAGCATAAGCAAAGCTATAGCACTCAGCGCGTTGTCCTTCTCATAGCGCCTTTCTTTTAAATCTCTGATTCTACCTAAACATTTATAAACACGACATAAGACTTGGTGAGGATATAAGACATCCATAAACCTATCCATACAACATTACATCATTTACATGTAGTTTTGATTAGAGGTGGGAACAGGATGGCTATATTGCCCTGAACCTGTACTTTTTCAATTTTTCTCCTCCCTGAACATGTCCTGTCCCTGAAATTTACCGTGTCGACCAACCTGAACCTGCGGCCCAGCCAACAATGCTGTGTGAAGAGATAAGCGGCTCACGTACAGCGACAAAATCTTTCAAAGGATTTCAACGTATTGCGCCGTGGTGCAGTCGTACTGCCTACGCGGATCTAACGACGTAGCCGGGGTTTGATTCCCCCATCGGTGCATTTTTCATCCGTTACTCCGTTTCCAGTGGACAGGTGGACAGCGCCCTAGTTCTAGCTGTCCGACCCATTTTAGTTTTGTTAGGTCATAGAAAACCGAAAAACTTTTGATCCGAAAAAAAGTGATCAAAACTTTAAAAGTAATGGTAAAGCCTTATGACCTCATTCGACCCATTTTTGGTGATGACCTTTAGGGAGAAAAATTTTATGCAAAGAAGACAGCATACAATGTTTTCATATACTGTTTTAACATTAATATTGTATTTTCATCAATTTTTTTCGGCTAGAAAGGTTTTCGGTTTTCTATAACATAAGAATTAAGAAACCTATGAAACCTATCTGTAAGTAATTTAAAAACTGTAAGAAACTTAAGAATAACCTGAGAATAACAGAAGAATAAGCACGAGAAACAGTATAAAACGTAGTCCAAGCCGCAAATTAAGTAGAAGCAAAAAAAACGGCTACCGATGACTTCGACCGTTTTCATTTCGACCACGTTCATATCTGAAAATTTTTCTACCTCCATTAATTTCGGCCGCCAATCACTTAGGCCACAATATATTTCGGCCGACCCTCATTTGGTTTGATTGCCAGAAAACGTTACTTTCGAGTTTCGGTTAAAGCTGCCGGTAATTTAAATCCGTTAAGTTAAGAAATCAGTTTTAGCAAATGCCCTTAGATTAACATCCTTTGTACAACGGTTAAAAATTCCACAAAATTAAAAAAACTATCATTAGCATTGAAGGTCAGCCATTTACCACCGAGAGAGGTCATATCTTCAGAAAAAGCTCGGGACCTGGAGTTATCCACACAGCCTTAACGGCCCTTAAGAAACCTTCGAAGCCAAGGGCGGTCGCATGAAGCCTACCATCACGTGGGCGAACACCATAAAATCTAAGAAAACTTACGATTATTCAAAGAAACCTAAGAACATCCAGAGATCCCTAAAAATAGCTTCAGATTAACCTGAGCATAAAACCTGAGAAACCAAAGAATAACATCAGAAACCTAAGAGTGACCTAAGAAACATACAAAACCTATGAAAACACAAGAAAACCCAAGAAAATATCAGAAAATCTAAGGAAACTCAAGGAAATCTAAGAAACTTAACGAAACTAGAAAAACCTAAGAAAATGATGATGATCGAAACGTACTGTAGCCGAAGTGAGCGATGCCGGATTTTGAGGGCTGGCCGAAGTGAGCCTCGACCAAAATGTAATGCAGCCGAAGTAATCGGACGCGCTAAAAGGCCGAAATGCGGTCTGACTTAACAAAGCGCTAGAAATTCCATAAAAAAGCAAATTCGTGTGCTACCCTCCCCTTAAATTCGCCTTTATGTGCATTTATGTGAATAGTTTGGAGAAGATCGGTTTATAACTTTATAATGAGACTTTCCGTACGAGTACACCTGAATGCATTTAAACTTTTTGGAATTTCGATTCAGGCAGAACTTTCCAAACCGAACTTTCCAATAATACAGTTATTTACTTTTGTTATGTGAGAGTGATTTATTACGCGCAGTTTTCGAGGGGTTAGTTAGTCTAGAAAATGACTCTTTCTCTACCTCTTATTATATTCCTTGTCTTTTCTTATAAGAGATTTCTGATATTTTCCTGCTTTTTTTGTTTTTTCAAGGTTTTCTTTTTACTTACTAATATCTTATGGTAACCAAATTGCTATGCACTAACCACTTTCTTCGATTTTTGGATACCCCCGATCGCATAAGTATGGCACAGGATGAGTAGAGGTACCAACAAGAAAATACGGGCGTCCTTGATTCTTGCAGGGGCAATTCTCGTGTTTCTCGTCTGTTTCATCCTCGCACTGGGCGACACCATCACAAAGGAAGGATTTAGGAATACATTTTAATCCGTCGCATCGAAACTCATATTTGTTACAACCAGGTGGACATCCGCGCTCATCGGATTGATCGTAGCATGAAGCTTTGCCATCGCATCTTTCGGTCCAAGGAAAACAGCGATCAAAGTCACAGGGATAGTGAGGCACCCAAACGTTTAAGTTGTTACAACCAAAGTGGCAGTTCCTTTCATCGCTGCCATCAGGGCAATCTCTGATTCCATCACAACGCCAGTCAATTGGCATGCATAATTTGCCGCCGCAACGCATCTCGCCACTCGCGCAGCCCAGATCTGAAACAAAAGCTTACCTTTACCGCTGAAAATAAGTGAGATGACGGAGAAAATTAATGGTGTGTAGTCTTCCGCAATATCAACCTGGGTTTGGTGGATATCCGTTGATGATTGATCTAATAACGTCTTTGTCACATTTAGACGACTGGTTATACAGAGCGTTCAGCCTTTCAGCTGAGTCGGTATTCCTTGACAGAAACACGAAAGCGCGTTTTTCTTGGTTCATAAGTTCGGGCGCAGACGAAGTCGACAGCTGAAAAATGGTCTTGATGAGTTCTGTCAGCGCATTTGGTTCCGAAGTTAGGATAGGATCATTGGGGTCAATATTGGTAGCGGTTATAAAATTAGCCGTTATTTCGGATGTCATCTTTTCAAAATCACTTTTTGAAATGTAAATTCTATCCGTAAAAGGATATGCGTAGTCGATCTCTTGAAACGTTTTACTTCCACGTATTTGGAAAACAGTCATATCGAAAATGCCCTTCTCAAGACAAAGTAGTCCATTTATTAACAGCAAGTGCGAGAGGTAAAGGGTGTGAAACTGTGAGAAAAACATGATTCTGTCTGATTTCTGACCGTATCTAACACCCTCGGGAAGACACGATGATATACTACAGTTTTGTCCTTTCTAGAGAATGTCACCGTTTTAAAGCGGCACAGTTATGTTCCCACGGAAGCGCTTGTTAAATCCAAGCAGCAACAAATTAAGTGATGCAGCATCCAGTCGACGTGCTGTATCATTTTTACGCAAGTCACGCACGTGCAAAATTTTTAAGACAGATGGTACTGCGTATCGTACTTAGCAGAATACCGAACTGTAGATGCAAAACGCAAATTACAAAGGAACAGATAACATAAATTCCACGATCAACAGCATCAGTTTAGCGCATCATTGAACTTGTAAGAATACACTTGATCCGAATACACTAACAATTTCGCGCTCACTGACTTGACGTACTTCTGAAAAGGTCGAAAAACATACATTTCGCATCTGTTACAAAGATTTTTTTTGTTCAAAAGACACAATTTTTTTTCTCTTGCTCTTGGGCTAATTGGTTGATTTTGCTCAACTGTGAAGCGATTAATGCGTGTACATAAACCCATCTTTATGCTTTTTGCGTCAGAGAATCAGTATTGAGATACAACGTGGAAGTGCAGTGTCTGTCCTCGGAACATTTAGTGACATGAGAGACAGCGAAGATGTTTTTTTAGCTTTTAGATTGGCTGATCGGGAATGATTTGTACCCGATGTTGTTTTTCTTGGCAGCTTTGCTGCGGTCTTGTTTATATGATTTTCCGTTAAAACATTCTTTCTTGAAAAAAATACAATAAATATCTTTATGCAATGCGCTTGTTTGCTGCTTGCCTGAAACTGACACTGTCAGTCTGTCAGTTAGCACTTCCGGTAGTGTTGCCGTTCGTTACGAAAACCTTTTCGTATACGATTTCGTATGATTATCGTTATCGTAACGAAAACTAAAAGTCGGGTACTTTTCGTTTTTGTAACGAAAACGAAAAGTGTTTGACTTTAGTTTTCGTAACGAAAACGAAAACCCCAGAAATTTTAGTTTTCGTTACGGAAACGAAACTTTGAATGTTTTCGTTTTCGTTACGAAAATTTATACGAAAATCTTTTTATTCGGGAGCACTAATTAAAAGCTTAAAATTTTTTACGGAAGAATGTTACAAATTATAAATATAATATACAGTACGAGTACAAGACGACGTGGAAATCATATTTATGTAGCTGCATGCTGATAAAACTTTATTCTAATTATATCTACCTTTAAACTGAAGGCTAAAGGTCCAGCGACGATCAGGTAAATATTAAAGATTACCGACTCATTCTTAAAAGCGGCCTGAAAAATGTGTAAACCTATAGTCCCCTACAATTTTCGTACCCAATGGAGTGACCATCATAAAAAATGATATTGTTGCTGATAATTAGTACGAATGAAGCTCTGACCCGGGAAGGTTAATTTGAGGTTAACTTTTACTATTAAACATGTAGGAAATGGCTATAGGCACCCCCTTTCACCCCCGTTATCTATAGGCACCCCTTTTCGCACCCACTTAGGCTATAGGCACCCCTTTTCGATTAACTAATTCCTGCACCCCGCCGCACACGGAAACAAAACAGGATCAAGCACGATAAAGTGGAACGAGGTGAAAGAACACAAGAGGGGATGGTCAGTCAGGTACTAAACGAAATCCGTAAGAAAGATGCCGGGGCGTTTATTTACATCGTGGTGTCCAATACCACAAAAGGTCACAAATATTACCATCATAACCTCAGTACTGCAAGAAAATTTATCAAAGCAGCCAAATCGTTATCAAATCAGTCAAACCGGCACATTGTCGAATGGAGTGCCTAGGACACATTTTTATATGAATGACTTAGCCATGCCAGATTGTCAAAAAATCCTTGGGAACTAAAAAACCTGTTAAAAAAATTTTTTGTCAGGCTTCTGGGAAAAAACGGAAAACAGGAAACAGGTGCATATGCCCCGCGGAAAAAAACGGGGTGCGAGATTTATGTAATAGAAAAGGGGTGCCTATAGTAAAACAGGGTGCAAAAGGGGGTGCCTATAGCAAACGGGGGTGAAAGGGGTGCCTATAGTCTCACCCAAACATGTAAGTACTTAACATTAACATGTTTTGGCGGCTTAAGCTTTAATTTGCGGTAGCAAGTCAGACTTCTGTAAAACAATCAAAGCGTATGCAGCATTTGCAGTGTAAACAAAATAAGTAGGCAAATAGTTACCACGAAGTAAAAGATAAGTTAACAGCGCTGAGCGCTAAAATTGTGCGAGTTAAACGTTGTTACGCATTTCCAATGGAAAATTAGGAAATATTATACGGTAAATTTAATCGTAAACTATAAAACATTTCCAATACCAGCGTATCATTCCTAGGTAAATCGGAGTAATTTCAAAGAACACCGCAATATATTATTTTATCGGGGACAACCAGCTGCCTTGAGACAACGCGCTGATAGTCATTGTGCATTTCGTAATTTTATTGAGAATTTCCAGCTAAAAGCGTAATTGATAAACTGTTTTTAGTTTTCGTAAAATTATTTGTTATAAAACATAGCCATACGAAAACCTATAAAAAACATTTTCGTTCGTGACGAAAACGAAAAGTCCATGAACTTCAGTTATCGTTACGAAAACTAAAATTTAGATAGTTTTAATTATCGTAACGAAAACGAGAACTCTCCGACTTTTCGTTCTCGTTACGATAACTAAAAGTCCCGTTGAATTCGTAAGCGTTACGATAACGAATACGAAAATGAGAACATTTTCGTTCGGCACACTAGCACTTCGTCATCATTCTTAAGGTTACCATTATTTCGGCTTTTACCGTTTGCAGATGTAGAGTTCCCGCTATATTGACTTAAAACTTTCACCTTACGATTCTAAATTGAGTCGTGGCTAAGATCATGCAAAATTCATCCTCCGTAACCGACATCATAAGTTCAAAAGCAAACTTTAAAATGCACCATTTGGAAATTCTACTTAAAAATCAGCTAACTGGACGCTCTAGCGCGACCAACACCTGTATAAAATTATAATCAGCCTTTATTGAGTTCCGTTTGCTGTTCGAATATAATTTTCGAAATGTTTAAAAACTGTTAAAATTCTAGAACATACAGAGTACACTCAGTACAGTATTATCTGTTGTTGTTGCAAAGTACAGTAGTACATAGACCCGTTAAATGCCAATTCTGCGCATCCGTATATTTGCATTTGCACGGATGCGCACGCGAATTAGTGCATTGCACACATGGATATTGCACACATGGATATTGCTCTGATGCGCAAAAGTATATGCGCATGTGAATACGTATTTGCCCGCACATATGTGTGTATAACTGAGCTTTATTAGTACAAGGTAGCCTCGCGCATTTGCGCTCGGCACTTAAGCTTACTGGATAGTATTGGCTTTGTTCTGGAAAGGTCATTATAAATATATAAAGGCTGACGTTCGGAATTTTTGTCGTTCTGACAATTTTAATTTTTCACGTTCTGAAGTTCTGATGTTCTGACGATCTAACGATCTGACGTTCTTACATTCTGATGTTCTTACTTTATGACTTTATGACGTTTTGACGTTCTGACGCTCTGGTTCTGACGTTCTAACATTCTCACGTACTCACGTTCTAACGTTCTGATGCTCTTACTTTATGACGTTCTGACGTTATAGCGTTCTGACGTTCTGACGTTCAGACATTTTGGCGTTCTGACGTTCTGACGTTCTAACGTTCTGACGTTCTGACGTTCTAACGTTCCAATGTTCGTACTTTATGACGTTCTAACGTTCTGACTTCTGATGTTCTTACCTTATGACGTTCTGACGTTCTAATGTTCTAACGCTTTGACTTCTGATGTTCTTACTTTATGATGTTCTGACATTGTGACGTTCTGACGTTCTGGCGTTCTGACGTTCTGACGTTCTTACTTCTAACGTTCTGATGTTCGTACTTTATGACGTTCTGACGTTCTTACGTTCTAACTCCGATGTTCTTACTTTTTGACGTTCCGACGGTGTTACGTTCTGACGTTCTTACGTTTTGAATTTCTGACGTTTTGACGCTCTGAATTCTGAAATACGTATGGACTTTTGCCTGACGTAATAATATACATATTTTACCTAAAGAGCAATTAATTTATGCATCCGCTATAGTCTCCGTGGTTACAGACATTATGTTTTAAAGCACTTTTTATTGCTGTGCAGCGAATACTTTTTCGAGTGCTCTTTACGTTTCCTATACTTAAGACCTGGTGAAACCATCACTGCTTGCACGAAAATCCTGTTACTACTCAGCTGTTACCTGGTGTGTTTGCCAGTGCCCAAGTGCCAGCATCTTTAGCACCGTACCTTAGAGCATGTGTGGTGAACACGGACCCTGCTGACCTAAATGCAATAATCGAATAAGCTACGACAAGAAGGTGTGTCAAAATGTCAATTTTTTTATGTCAATACAACACTGGTTGGCGGTTCTTTCCTCCGTCAGATATGTGAACGATTAATGAAATAAACAAGGCAGAGCCTTCATTTGGTTATAGTAACGAACTGAAATAAAGCCATGTTATATGTAGTGACAACCATAAGAGGCATTACAAGATTCTAAAGTTACACACGGTTCAGAAAGCAGTTTACCTGCATGCGGATTTGATTTTCATGTGAATCCAAATACTTTGCCACATCCAATCCAAAAGCTTGCGTAATGCTCAGTTCTTCGAAACCAAACAAAACACCATGCACAAAATGAGCATCCAAAAACCGGTGAAAAGCGTCGCTCCATTCGGTATCCGTTAACACGTCGTAGAAATTAGGGCATCGTTCATGTACCAGTTTCACCATAGCATCAGTAACAGCGTCGCACAAATTCTCCTGACAAAGAACTTTCTTGTCAGGATCCACATCCTCAACGGTTTCGTCCACACTAACAACATGTTGGAAGAGAGTAGAATCCTGTATAAGTTCCTTCAACGCTTCACAACACTTTTCGCTCAATGAAATTCCGTTCCTCGTGGGCAACAAATCACCTTCCTGAGACCGCTGCTAACGGCAAAGGTTGGGCACGTTAAGACGGCTCCAGTGGAAGTACACTCCTTGGTCCAGTAAGAATAAAGGAGGCAAATTTCCACTGGGATAATCCGGATCGGATTTTCCCGTCAGCAATAACGATACCAAGCGCATGAATCGTCTCTTGTTGAGGCTAATTGTTTTCGCCCACGTCTGTTTCCACTGCCCGGCCGGTTCTCCCTTCCATTCACTAATAAAAACTCGCGCTTCTTCCCACTGATGATCGACATGCACAAATTTTTCGTTGCCCAGACGATACACCGACCGACCGTTCTCTGAAGGCAAAACGAAATATAAACACCGTAATTACTGCCCTATGTCCAACCATTTAGACCCGTAAATAATGCTCTAAGTCCAAATATTTAGACCCGTAAATGCAAAATAACCGGTCAGGTTCCTGATTAGCTGAATTTGCTGAATTTTTTACATTTATTTATTAATTGAATCACAACTTCCTGATTAGCTGAATTATTTACAACTTCCTGATTTTTCCTGATTGTGATTTTTACAGATTCTGATTTTCCTTTATTGTAATCCCGCATCACCAGTGGAGAACTCGAGCTTTTGATCTTTTTTACCGTTGAGTCGGTAAACACGGTATGTCGTTCCCTGCTTGTCGTTTTCACCCACGTTTGTGGGTGCCTTTTCTGGCTTTGGCAGCTGTTTCTAGGCACTGAATACCACGGAATTTAAATGCGATCTGTGCCCCAAAATCTGCAAATCATCCCATGGCCTCGCTAAGCACCGCCACTCGGAAGTATGCAAGAAAGCCCAGCGCAAAGTTCTCCGTCAGGCAGCAGTTCCTCGCCTGTAGCTGGCTCCTCTCGTCCAGTAGTCCCAGCCCCCGTGACAGTTCCTGACGCCACGGCCAACAACTCAGCAGGTGCAGCGCCTACACCGGCGCCATGACATTCGTGCCATTATTTGGGCCACCACCCTCGATGCCAAAGCCTTTTTGGCTATCGAAGGAGCGTATGCTGTGCCGCATCCCACACCGAGCGCGACCCGCCGCGGGAGACTCCCTTCAAAAACCGCTGCAGCAAGCAGCGATCAGGAACGATAGCCCGGCCTTTCTGAAGCTGCATGCCTTTGCATCAACAGCGCTTCGACTTCCCGCCAAGACAAAATCAGAGCGCACCAGCACGTTGGCCACCGCATTGAAAGAGAACCTGGACTTTTTCGACCGCGATATTGAGGTTCCTGCAACGCAGCCCACTAAAGCCAGGAGGAAACGAAACACTGACGAAGATATTGTTCGTCGTGTCGGCGAAAAGATTGATGGCGGTTCCATTTCTGAGACAATGCGTATTGTATTGTCCACCAACTCTGTTGCAGACACCACATGCGATACCCTAAAGGAATTTAGAACGAAGCATTCCGTATGTGCGCCCCCACCCGTGACGCTCTCTAATGCTGATACACCCGCAGCGCCTCCAGTAACCGCCGCAAATGTATTTGCACATATTCGCAGCTTTCCTCGAGGATCAGCTGCTGGACCAGATAGGTTGCGTCCCCAGCACCTGATCGACAGTTTAGGAGGAAAAAGGACGATCAAAGTGGATCGTTTTGCGAATCCTTGGCAGCCGTCCTCAATCTTGCTTTGAACGGTAAAGTGCCAGCTGTCATCCGTCCTGCTTTTTTTTGTGGAAAGCTGTTAGCCTTGCGGAAAAAAGGCGGCGGCCTACGCCCCATCGCGGTCGGAATGACATTGCCGTGTCACTGCCAAAATCATTTGCAGCAAAGGCGCGGAACGGGCGGTTGCTGTCCATTCCCCAACACAACTCGGCTTTAATGTGCGTGGCGGAGCTGAAGCCGTTGTTCACGGTACCAGACACTTCCTCAGCGTTAATCCGGATATCGCGAAAGCCATCGTAAAAGTGGATTTCCGAAATGCGTTCAATATGGTCTCGCGTGAAGTAGCGCTCAGTGCTGTGCGGTTGTATTTGCCGGAATACCTCGCTTTCTTCTAGGCATCTTATGGACACTGTTTGTCACTGTTGATCGACGACCACGTTCTGTCATCCGAATTCGGTGTACAGCAGGAGGTTCCATTGAGCCCGCTACTGCTTTGTCTTGCAATGCAATCAGTTATTGCCTCCCTGGATACCGAGCTAAACGCTTGGTACCTGGTACGATGGAACGTTGGGCGGGCTTCCTATTTGTTCGCTGGAGAATTTTGATCGGTTCATCGAAAGATACCGGGCGGATGGCCTGGAAATTAACGTCGGAAAGTGCGAATTATACGTTGTAGGCGGTTCTGAGATTACACAACAAGAGGCAATTACCAATTTCTTTCAAGGCATCCCGGAATTCGTGTCATGTCCAGAACCAATCTAACACTTTAAGGAGCCCCTACGCTGGACGACGCGATTGCCCCTGTATTTGCCGAGAAAGCAAAGTCACTGACCGCGGTATACGAAAGAATGCAACTGTTTCCCCGTCACTAAGCCTTATTCCTTTTAAGACACTGTCTCGGAGCACCGAAAATCTTTTACAAGTTGCGGTGTTACAACGCCTGGGAATATCCTGAACAATTATACCAAATCGATGAAGTATTGCGGCCTTGTTTCCAACTTCTGTGTAATGTCCGGACAAATCACGACGATTATCCCAGTTGGCGGCAAGCAAGTCTCCCGGTTAGCAGATGAGGCATCGGTCTGCGCCGATCGGAGGAATTAGCACCCCCAGCCTTTCTGGCTTCGATTCACTCCGTCGGCGACCTGGTGTCTTTGTTGCTTCCCAGTCGCAAGACTTCGGATGTCACCGTTGCGCTAGAAATATGGAAGGCAAAAGCCCGTTTGACAGAACTGCCCGTTCCAGAACTCCGCAGTTCCCAGAAGGCTTGGGATTTGCCTTTGTGTAATGTATGGTTGCCCTGCTAGAAGTATACCAGGATGATGAAGTTAATAAGGCGCGTGTGCTCGCCTAGTCGAGACCGGAAGCCGGCATTTGGCTCAACGCGTTGCCTTCCGCCCATATTGGTAACCTCCTCGATGACGACACTCTAAAAATCTCAATAGGCCTTAGACTCGGCGCCAGGATTTGTGAACCTCACAACTGCACGAAATGCTCAAAGCCAGTCAACGGATACGCCCATCATGGTCTTTCCTGTCCATTCTCCGCCGGCAGACACCCTAGACATGGTGGCCTTAACAGTATCGTATGTCGGGCTTTTGTATTAGCCGGAATCCCAGCTAAACTTGAACCCCGAGGCACTTCCCACACCAGCGAACGACGCCCCGATGGCTGCACAGTTTCGCTTGGCAGCAAAGAATGCGCTTGGCACGGGATGTCACCTGTGTGGATACTGTCGCCGCTTCCCACATCAAATTTACTTCGGCAAATGCGGGATCGGCCGCGTTGCAGGCTGAAGAAAAGAAGTCTAGGTTCTGATCTTATCTAAACAGCCGCTATATATTCACACCTATCGCTTCTGAAACTATGGGCCCTTGGGCATCAGCGGCCACTGCCATCATAAAAGAACTGGGGAAGAGGTTACGTCCTCATTCAGGAGAAGCCCGCTCGCACGAATTTCTTCGACTACGTCTGTCTATAGAGGTACAGCATGGTAACGTGGTTTCTGTTTTGGGCACGGAGGAGAAAGCGGAAATGTTTAACGAGCTGTTGTTTTGGTAACTGTTTCCCTAACACGTGTTTAAGTGATGGCTTGAAATAAAATCGTATTATACCGGTAAGGTTGGATGCAGATACTACACTCAACATATACGAGGACGCTGCACGTAGAATACCGCACCTAACCAACAAATTTATGCAAATCAATGAGCAGTGGGTTTATGATTAACTGCGTCCAACGAAAATATCCAAATCAACCTCTCCACACTGTTCGTGGCTCTCCACTTAGCGAAAATCCGCGTTCTTCATCGCGATTTTTCTCCGCACGTCGATCTTCAATTTTCGCATGTGCATATAACCACGTTGAGCAAAATTAATAATAGGTAATGCTACATTGATACATTGTTTAGCGGTTTTATAAAACATAACATTCAATATACCTGTGTGCTCAGCTCGCACAGAAGCCACGGAGCCAGAACCATTTGGCGGATCAATAACATCAGCGTTTTCCAATGCTGACAAAGAGCGCAGCGCTGTGCGCATCGAAGGAACTGCTTCCATCCCGCCAGAATCTGAATATCCACCAACCGTTCACAGTGACAACGCGCGAAAAATACCTAAACAAATAAGTCTGCTCAAAAATACTGTAAGTAAAGTGAAAACAGAAAGCAGTTTTAACGGCGATGCCACCTGCTCCAGTTTGGCCGTGGCTTTCCACTTCACGGTTCTCCGCAATCCTTCACGCTTCTTTTGTCGTCTTCTGGCCAACCGTACTAACTTTCCATACCCTTATCATCCAGCAAATCAAAGCTGCCTGTACAAAAATTCCTGATTTTGCGGAAGATCTGTATGTCAGCTAAGGCTGGCATCGTACCGGATCAGAGCACCCATGGTACTGCACGAACCAGTATTCAACAAAATTAATGTATGCACACACCTGCAGATAAAATTAATGTAAGTATGCACACAATACGTGCAGATGAGAAATGTGATGATGATGACTTCATCATCGAACCGTGCAATACTCCAGTTTTTAATTAATCAAGTGGATACAGACAGAAAAAGGGAAATTTAAAAATGCTAAACAAAAACCTGGGGCATCACCGTTTTCAAAATAGCGCGAACAATTTTAGTTGCATGACAGCTGGCAATTTTTAACAGTCAAATCATCCAGTATATTAAGCAGGGTTCTCTGTTTGAACAGATCTCGCCTCCAAACCTTTAAAATTGGCGAGAGGCGGCCTTATCTTCTGATTGGTCAGAACCAGCCTTACGGCTTTCAGGCCTGTACACCCTTCTAACCTTCGTTGTCATCAGCCCAAAGCCTTTACTAACCATTCGAAACCTAAGTACCTGTATAAACTTTTACCCGATTATCCAGATCAGCTGGATCCTAACTTAAGCCTTAGGATCCTGACTTAATCCTTACCTTAAGCCTAAGGTTTCGAGACTTTAGTGTCTTTTATTTGATTGGTCAGGACTACCAGATCTACCAGATCCGCCAGAACTGCCAGATAAACCATAACTACCAGATCTTCCAAATCAGCCAGATCTGCCAGATCAGCCAAATGAACCAAAACTTGCAGGTCAGCCAGAAGAACCATAACTAGAAGGTCAGGCAGAGAAGCCAAATCTGCTAGATCAGCCTGAAAACCAGATCAAACAGAATTAACCAGCTCTTCCAGATTAGACTGTACTATCATATCATTCAGAACCATCCTGAACTGCCGTTTCCAGAACTACTAGATCAGCATGAACTACCAAATCAGCCTGAACTGCCAGATCAGCCTGAAATACCGAATCATCCAGAACCGCCAGATCAGCAGAAAATGCCTAATCAGTTAGATCAGCAACAGCAGCCAGATCAGCCAGGTAAATCGGAACTACCAGATCAACCAGATCTGCTAGATCAGTCAGAACTACAAGAACTACCAGAGCAACTAGAACTATCAGACCAGCCAGCCATCTACCGGTTCCTGCACGAATTCTGCCCGGATTAACCAGATCCTACCTAGTGTCTTATTCTTACTAGGCTTTTGAAACCTTAGTTTCCTTACAACATTTTTGCCTGATCAGCCAGATCGTTCTTAAAAACTTAGTCTTTATTGAGCTTTCGAACCTTACTACCTGTACAAATTATTTCTTGGTTAACCAGATTGTGGTTTCTATCTTTGTTTCTCCAAAGCCTTTAAATTTAAAACCTTAAGGCACTAAGGAACTTTTACCGGATTAGCCAGATCTGCTTACTTTCTATTTAGTCGTTGCTGAGCTTCCAAACCCTTAGCAAGCCAAGACATTTGTCCCGGAAAGCAACGCGTGCGCAGCCGGCACTTAAAGCCTTTGGTCACCGAAAGCATTTTAAGCCTTTTGTAACGGGCTCTCTGAGCCTTTTAGTCACCAAATGCTTTTTAAGCTTTTGGTCACCGAAAGCCACGAGTGCGGTACCCGCCTTATTAAGCCTTTGGTCTACGAAGGCCGGTCAAGCCTTTGGCTACCGAAGGCTTTTTTGACTATTTGGTAACCGCAGCTCTTTTAAGCCTTTGAAAACCACGCGTGCGGTACCTACACTTTTAAGCCGTCAAAAACCGTAGGCCGCGTCAGCGCAGCCCGTAAGCGCCAAGCGCCGCGCGTCCTGCTTGTCCAGTTTATTAAGCAGGATTCTTTGTGCGAGACTGATCCCGCCTCCAAATCTGATTGGCCAGAACTAGCCTCACCTTTCTGATTGGCCAGATCTTACTGTACGGCTTTTAAGCTTTTACGGCCTTCTAAACATGGGCTTTTACGCGTTTGCGTTACTAAGCTTTCGAAACCTTAGTATCTGTACTAACTTTGCCTGGCTATCCAGATAGGACCGATCAACCAGATGCCTCCTCCAGCTTTCGTCCTGACTAAGTTTTCGAAACCTTAGTTCCGCAGCAAAGTTTTTTTTTTAATTAGCCAATTCAACTAGATCCCTTAGAACTACCTAATTTGCCAGATCAGACTGAACTTCCAGTTCAGCCAGAACTACCAGATCAGCCCGAACAAACGAACCTGCCAGATTAACAGCAACCACCAGATCTGCCAGAACTTTCGAATCTACCAGAGTCAGCCTGAACTACCTGATCAGCCTAGACTACTAGCTCAGCCAGACTTACCAAATCTGCCAGGTTAGCCAGTACAACCAGAACCTTACCAGAGCTACCAGAACCACCCGGTACCCTTTCTTCTAAGTCTTTGGTCACCGATGGCCACGCGTGCAG